ACAGTTTGACATACTCATGTTTTCAAGCGCCACAGTTGCGACATGTTACGCTTTCTGCACCAACAATCGCTTTACAACAGTTTGACATACTGCAACGCGGACAGACCTTTTCACACCACAGGCTTGAGTCAAAAGCCTTCGGTACACTTCTTGATTTGTGCGTGTCATCACGACACCTGTGCTGCAGACATCGGCAGGGGTCCAAATGGGTTACAAAGTGTTATACCCCGCCTTTGGATTGCACGGTCAAGTGCTATCCAACTTTTCACCCTACCTTCGGTAGAAATTTGTGGCTGCCAACATTTCGTGTAGCAGCTCTTTATGAATTCCCTCACTCAGTTTGTTGACTCTCCTCGGCTTGGTTTCGGCTGCTTGATCTTCTGGCGCTCCTGGATCTTGTGCTTTCTGGCCCGTTGTCGCTCCACAGGCCTTGATAGGCTATCTCAGCCCTGGCCTCTTCATCAGTCACCATTCCCATTGTCACCTCGCCCAGGTCAAAGGTCACGGTATTGTTCACAAAGTCCTGGACTGCGCGAGGTGAAGCTCTTCCTTCGTTGAAACTATTCCACGCAAAACGTAGGACTTCCAATCTTCTCAGGTAGCCCTCGATCTTGCCTTGACGCTCAGCATTTGGCGATTTCTCTTGTTCGGCTCTCAGAAGGGTGAGCAACTTCTTGCTCGCCTTCACCATGTAGTTCCTTGGTGAATCCATTTCTCCCACTGGTTCTTCTGGACGTCCAGGGGAGAATGCTCCTTCTTCACTGCTTCCATTTCCAATCCCTAAGAAACAGTTTTCTGCTTGAGTAAACGCTCTTCTCTCACTCTCACTCATCTCCTCGAATGGATCCGGTGGTACAGGTCCTGGTAGTCGAACTGCCATTTGTCCACCTCCAAGATCAACTCGAGGTAGTCGAAGTCGTAGTCCTTCTTGGCCTTGTCGTTCAGCATCGAACTGCACTTCGTCCTCGTCATCCTCGCTGCTGTCAGTGCATCCATGAATGTCCATCCATAAGTCCTCATCGGAGACTTCTTCAAGGGTGCTGAACTCGTAGCGAATTCTCTTCTCTTCAACCGTCTCTTCTTCTGGTTCCGGCTCTTCGGTTCCTGGTTCCGGTTCTTCTCTCACACTCCTCACATGCAGCTCTTCAGTCGCACTCCCCGTAGCCAGTGAGCCCAAGGCTGCAAAGAGAGCTGGTAGTAGGTCTCGACGAACTCGTTGAACTCGTTGTACTCCAACTTCTTCTCCACCAATTCGATCTTGAAAGCCCAGCATGCCAAGCAAAAGTTTCAACCTCTTCTGCCCATGACCCTTTGTTCCAAGGTCAGCTGGGTTTGCTTGTCCTGGTACAGGTTTTACTGAAAGAACTTTCTGCGCAACCTTGTCTTGAACCCATAGTAGTCCAGTAGCGATGTGCCTCGTTCGTTGAACTCCTTGTCGTTGAAGTAGAGCTCTTGCCGCCGCATTGTCCAGTCTCATCTCTAGAAAGACCGTGGTGTTCAACACCGTCTCCAGTAAGCGCTTGACATAGATCGCGTCGGCTGCTGCTGACACCGCCGCCACAAACTCCGACTCAGCATTGCTCAAAGCAATACTGCGCTGCGTCCGGGTCACCGCAAAGAAGTAGTTGTTGTTGAGGTAGAACACTGCGCAAGAGCATGACCGTCTCGTCGACCGATCTCCAGCCCAATCGGCATCAGTGTAGACCTCCAACAGCGAAGGCCCATTGCACGCACTTGTAGTGACCTCCTCGCCGAAGTCCTTGTAGGCCATCTCCTTCATAGATGATGCCATAGAGCTCCTCAACCTCATGCGTTGAGCGTAGTCGGCCGTGTCCTTCAGGTAGAGCACAACTTGCTTTAGCTCCTTCCAGTCACCCTCGTCGGGGTTGGTCACTTTTGAAGCCAAAGCTCTTGTCGCGCACTGGATGTCTGGCCTCTCCGAAGCCATGTACAACAGGATGCCCACACAGGTTCTGAACACTCTGGCTTTCTCTGGGGAAAGGCTCTGGTACTCGTAGCCTTTCCTGAAACTCGAGGTTGTAGGCACAGCTTTGCTCTTGTTGTTCCCCAGGTTCAACTCTTCGACCAACTTGTGGATGTACTTGTCATTCAACTTGATCCACATATTGCCATCTCCATCGGTCACAAACTTCCTCTTGAGGAAGGTACACTGTCCATTCAGGTGAGGTCCACAGGGCCCTTCAACTTGTAGCTTCCAGCCCTGGTCCTTGAAGTGCTGGAAAAGGTCGTTTACGTCCTTCTCCGTTCCCATCACTTGCAAGTCGTCCACATGAGTGGAAACCACAAGGGGCTTCTCGAACTTGTTCAGGATGGGCTTGTAGAACACAGAAGGGTTCGCTTTGTAGGTCAGCAGGCCAAAGTCCTTGATGACCAATGCCAGCAAATCATACCAACTCTTGCTTCCCACTCGTTGGCCAGGTAGGCACCGTCCAAGAATGTAGTGCACACCAGAAGTCATAGTCACGTAGACCTTCTCGTCCTGCTCCACCATCAAGTAAGCGTCCTTGATGTCTGCAGAGTAGAGGTTGAGTTCTCCACCTGCAGATTGAACCACTGCTGCCCATAGCTTCGTTGACAACGCGTTGGATGCTGGACTGAACAGTCCTTCCAACTCTGGTTCCAAGAACTTGTAGTCACGCGCCACAAGTCGACTTCTCCGAAGCCATCGGCCATCTCGAAATCTCCAGTCCTTCACGTGCTTGGTGGTGAGCTTTCTGTAGGTCTCGTCAATCACGTTCTCCTTGTTCACGGCGATCAGGACTCCCATCTCCAAGAGCCTTGAAATTTCGATCTCCTCAGCCTCAAAATCCAGCTTGTAGAGCTCCTCGTCGGTCAAGTTAGGCGGTCCATCATCTTCCGAACGGTCCCACTCAGAAAGGTCCAGGTTCTCCCAGTCACCCCACTTCGTAGGGTCAAGGATGTACTCCTCGTCCACCTCCACTTCATCTTCTCCAAGTTGAACTCGAGAGATGTGGCCCAAGTTGCCAGCAAACGTTGGCGAAGCTGACAATCTCGTAGGTGAAGAGGATGTAGGCGAAGTAGGCAAAGGAAGCATCGAAATAATAGGTGTTGTCCTTGAGCTTTTGTCCAAAAGCTCCTTCGCATCCGCAAGACGTAGTGCTTTTGTAGTACCCAGTGTCTCCATAGTCGGCTCATCCACCGCCATACGCTTAAAAGGTAGCGGTGTCGAAGTTCCTTCCCGTGGTTGCTTTTGTTGTGGTTCTCCTTGTGCTCCTTCTGGTCCTCTCTTGACTGCAAAAGGCTGTCGTCCTCCTTGAACTTCTGCTTCGTCCTCGACGATCCCCGCCTCCGAGGCTTGTCCTTCAGCTTCGACTCCTTCAGCAGGTTGTTGTTGTAGTCCACCTGAGGCTTCACTAGGTGCTTCCTCAGAGCCGTCTACCGCTTGTCCTTGACCTGCATCAAGGGCATCTGTTACTCGTTGTTGCGCATATAGCGCAATGGCTTGTGCTTCTTCATCTCCTCTGTAGTGCTCCATCACCTCTTCCATCATCGCAGCTCTGTCTCTCAACTGCTTCTTTCTTCCAGGTTTTGGTCCAGGGGTTTCACGCTCTTCCCAAGGTAGTCCACGAACAACTGCAAGTAGGTCTGCTTGCCATCGTTGAGCACATCGTCGAACTCCTCGGGTGAGAAATAGTCCTCGTACTCCGCAGACGATTGACAAGTCACAGTCAGGAAGTTTTCCAACGAAGATTCCTTTCTCCCAGTTTGGAGTTCCCTTTCGTTGTTGAGGTTTGTGAGGTAGAGGTTGACCATAGACTGCAGTGCCAAACTCTGTGAGTCGTCCTCGATAGGGCCGATCTGCTGCAACTTCAAAAGGGGTCTGCTTGCTCCCATCGTTAACATGGAAGCGGTTGTAGAGCCAAGCCGCATGGTTGTAGGCCCAAACCCTCAGCAAGTGGTCACCTCCAAGTTGTTGACCAGTCCCTTTGCTGACACTCTCCAGCAACGTGTTACCAAGTCTCCTTGTTGTCTGAATGGCACGCTCTGCTGGGTTGGACTGGTGGTGTCCAGGTGGTGCATACTCCACCTTCGTCTTCTGCTTCAAAGCAGTCCTGGTTGCTTGGACCGCTTCGATCAACTGCTTCATGGCGGGTTCACCATCTCCTTTGAGAATCACGTCCTCATAGTCCCGGGCAAAGGCAGTCACAGCAGTAACACATCTCTTCAAGCTAAGTCCACCTTTCCCAGGAATCGGCACGCAAAGGATAGCTTTTGTCCAACTGTCCACACCCACCAAGTGCTTCAGCATCTCACTCTCATGTTGGTGACCAGCACGAGTGCTGGTGAACATGTAGTCCAGGGCTATCGAAGGAACTGGTGCTTCCCGACGTTCATGTCGTTCACTGTCCCTGCTCCTCGTAGCCACACATTCTTCACACCAACTTTCGAAGGGTAGGTGAGTGAGTCGATGGCGTGCTTGAGTTTCTTCATCTGGTAGCTCAGGTACGGCAGGTCCAGCTTCAGGTTCTCGTCGGTCTTGTTGCTGCTGTTGGTGAGCAACTTCAACTGCCAATCGAGCATGACCTCTTTGGCAGTACTCCTGAAGTCTGGCAAATATGGTTTTCTTTCCACCACTCTTCCCCAAACCTAGGAAGACACACGCTTCTCTCATGACCTTCAAGGTGCTGGTCTGTTCAATCCTCTTACCGTTGACGATGACATGGCCATCACCTACTTGGTCAGCCATAGCCCCATCTGGTCCTTGAACTTCAGCTCCATCGTCGGCCATAGCATCTTCGGGTGGTGGTCCTTCAGGTAGTAAATCTCCTCCTTGTGCAGCTTCAGCTTGCATCTGAACATCTTCAAGAGGAGATAGTCCAGCGTGAGGTTGTTCTTCAAGAGGTAGGAAATCCCCAGCTCCTTGAGGTTGAACAGCATTCTGGTGAAAAATCGCAATGATCCTTGTAGGCACTTTCACTTCAGGGATTGGCCCGGTTCTCCACTGGTCCTTGTGCTCCTCAATACTCGACACAATGCCATTGGTCATCCTCCAGCTTCACCAACGTAGTCCTGTAGGGGTAGTTGTCCATGACAAACGGCACAGTAGGTTCCTGAAACGTAGAGCCACGCTTCAGGATGTAGGCGGGTGTCCCATCTTCCATCACCCAAGATCCTCTCTCCTTGGCCAACTCCTCCAACTCAGTGCCCAGCTCGACCACGAAGTTCACCTCCAAGACCTTGGTCGCAAAGGTGAACGCCAAAGAGTTTCCCTTCCACACCAAAGGGATCCTTCGTAGACCAATTGCCAAGTAGTGAGCTTGTCCTTGTTCTTCTCGAGGTTGAATCATCCAACCTTTCTTCAGCCGTTTCCCAACTGCTACCAACGGCTGCTTCACATTGGCCAGCACAAACGTCTCTTTTAAGCCGATCACCTCTCCATCTTCAGTCTCCACAAGCATCGTCAAGTAGACTCTGCCATAGTTCTTGATCAAGTTGCCCTGCGCGTCGCGCAACAAGGCCTGGTATCTATCGTTGGTCACTTCTGCGAACTTGTCAAACTTCAGTGGCAAAACTGAGACATCAGCTCCAAGGTCCAAAATGGCTTGGAACTCCACAGACTTGGCCTGCTCTTCAGGGACGTTGTCCTCGACAATGGCAAAGACGTTGTACTCCTCAATCAACTCATTCAAAGGGCTGTCATCACCAGCTACATCATCATCTTCCTCGGCCAAGTCGTAGATGTCACAGGGAACCATCCCTGGAGGTGTCACCAACTTCTTGATGGCACAAGTCACACGCCGCACCATCCCAGGAGTCCTCAAGGTAGTACTTGGAGACGTAGAGGTCGTAGAGGTCGACGAAGACACTGAAGGTGAGCTATGCTCTTCCTCAACCATTCTGACCTTCTTGTCGTTGTCCCAGCAATCCTTGGCCAAATGGCCAGTTCTTTTGCACACGTAACACTCCCTGGTCTCCTTTTGCTGCTTGCCTTTTCCTTCTCCTTTATCACCCTTTCCTTTCGACTTACCTTTGCTTGAGCCTGGCTGGCTCGACTTCCCTTTTCCTTTTGACTTCGAAGGCCCTTTTCCGTCCTTTCCTTTTCCTTTTCCTTTTGGCTTCTCTTTTCCTTTTCCTTTCTGAATTCCTTTCCACTGAACCCTGTCCACGTCCATGGGGTCGTCCTGGTTGGCAAACTCCTGAGCTTGCTTCAAAACCTTCTCCGTAGTCCATGCCGATCTCGTCTGCTCGAAGTCGGTAAGGGCTTGTCGGATCGTTGCGTAGTCCGTCTCCTTGGTGAGGGTGAGCTCCAAGTGCTGTCGTAGAACCTGAGGGCAGCACCTGATCAACGTAGCCACTTTCAAGTCGTTATTCAACTTCTCCTCACTGAACCGCTCATAGTCCTCCACTAACTTCTCCAGCACCAGCAGCCCTTCCAAGCTCTTGCCCTTCTCGAAGGCAGGAAACTGAGTGATTGCCTGCAACATGCAAAGGGTCCTCTGCCGTGTCTTTGGTTGAAACTCCCGGCAAAGGTGTTGCCAAGCCTTGTAGCCGTCGCTCGTGGTCACCGCCCTGACAATCCTGAGCGGTCTTCCCTTCACGTAGGACACCAAGTAGCTGTAGAGTCTCCGCGCTCTCACTCGGTAGTCCTCGCCGTAGTCCTCAAGCTTCAACTCCTTCTTGAGGTCGTTCTCCACGAGGTCAAGGTCCTGCTCGTAGTCCGCGTCCAACATTCCCATGAATGTTTTGAAAAGGAATGACCACTCTGGCCACCCATTCATCTCATCATCGTGGTCCTTCGGTCTCCACACTTCAGGCTTCTGAAGTGTCCTGGCATCTATCGTTTCCAGGGTTCCACCTGGCTTCTTCTCGGACAGCCGTGTCACCGCTTGCGTGGTGGCATTGGCAAATCCCCTCATCTCCTGGAGGAAGGCTTCCATGTTGGCCATCTCGAAGCGCGGGATCAACTCCTGGCGCTCCACTCACGGCAAGGTGCGGGACTCGTCCTGGCACCCACTGCAAAGCCCGATCTCCTTCACAAGGTTCTCGTTGCAAGGCCCGACCTTCTCCACAAAGTCCTTGGTCGCTCGCACAGCCCGACCGTCTCCTCGAAGGCCACGTTTTCCCCAAATGCCCGGTCACACCAGGCTCCGCGCTACCATGCAACGCGGACGGACCTTTTCACACCACAGGCTTGAGTCAAAAGCCTTCGGTACACTTCTTGATTTGTGCGTGTCATCACGACACCTGTGCTGCAGACATCGGCAGGGGTCCAAATGGGTTACAAAGTGTTATACATACTCATGTTTTCAAGCGCCACAGATGCGACATGTTACGCTTTCTGCACCAACAATCGCTTTACAACAGTTTGACATACTCATGCTTGCAAGCGCCACAGTTGCGACATGTTACGGTTTCTGCACCAACAATCGCTTTACAACAGTTTGACATACTCATGCTTGCAAGCGCCACAGTTGCGACATGTTACGCTTTCTGCACCAACAATCGCTTTACAACAGTTTGACATACTCATGCTTGCAAGCGCCACAGTTGCGACATGATAGGCCTTCTGCACCATCAATCGCTTTACAACAGTTTGACATACTCATGTTTTCAAGCGCCACAGTTGCGACATGTTACGCTTTCTGCACCATCAATCGCTTTAATTACAACAGTTTGACATACTCATGTTTATAAGCGCCACAGTTGCGACATGTTACGCTTTCTGCACCAACAATCGCTTTACAACAGTTTGACATACTCATGCTTGCAAGCGCCACAGTTGCGACATGATAGGCCTTCTGCACCATCAATCGCTTTACAACAGTTTGACATGCTCATGTTTTCAAGCGCCACAGTTGCGACATGTTACGCTTTCTGCACCAACAATCGCTTTACAACAGTTTGACATGTACTCATGCTTGCAAGCGCCACAGTTGCGACATGTTACGCTTTCTGCAACAACAATCGCTTTACAACAGTTTGACAATACTCATGCTTGCAAGCGCCACAGTTGCGACATGATAGGCCTTCTGCACCAACAATCGCTTTACAACAGTTTGACATGTACTCATGCTTGCAAGCGCCACAGTTGCGACATGTTACGGTTCCTGCACCAGCAATCGCTTTACAACAGTTTGACATACTCATGCTTGCAAGCGCCACAGTTGCGACATGTTACGGTTTCTGCACCAACAATCGCTTTACAACAGTTTGACATACTCATGCTTGCAAGCGCCACAGTTGCGACATGTTACGCTTTCTGCACCATCAATCGCTTTAATTACAACAGTTTGACATACTCATGTTTATAATATTATAAGCGCCACAGTTGCGACATGTTACGTTTTCTGCACCAACAATCGCTTTACAACAGTTTGACATACTCATGCTTGCAAGCGCCACAGTTGCGACATGATAGGCCTTCTGCACCATCAATCGCTTTACAACAGTTTGACATACTCATGTTTTCAAGCGCCACAGTTGCGACATGTTACCCTTTCTGAACCAACAATCGCTTTACAACAGTTTGACATGTACTCATGCTTGCAAGCGCCACAGTTGCGACATGTTACGCTTTCTGCACCAACAATCGCTTTACAACAGTTTGACATACTCATGCTTGCAAGCGCCACAGTTGCGACATGATAGGCCTTCTGCACCATCAATCGCTTTACAACAGTTTGACATACTCATGTTTTCAAGCGCCACAGTTGCGACATGTTACGCTTTCTGCACCAACAATCGCTTTACAACAGTTTGACATACTCATGCTTGCAAGCGCCACAGTTGCGACATGTCACGCTTTCTGCACCATCAATCGCTTTACAACAGTTTGACATACTCATGTTTTCAAGCGCCACAGTTGCGACATGTTACGCTTTCTGCACCAACAATCGCTTTACAACAGTTTGACATACTCATGCTTGCAAGCGCCACAGTTGCGACATGTTACGCTTTTTGCACCATCAATCGCATTACAACAGTTTGACATACTCATGCTTGCAAGCGCCACAGTTGCGACATGATAGGCCTTCTGCACCATCAATCGCTTTACAACAGTTTGACATATTCATGTTTTCAAGCGCCACAGTTGCGACATGTTACGCTTTCTGCACCAACAATCGTTTTACAACAGTTTGACATACTCATGCTTGCAAGCGCCACAGTTGCGACATGATAGGCCTTCTGCACCATCAATCGCTTTACAACAGTTTGACATACTCATGTTTTCAAGCGCCACAGTTGCGACATGTTTACGCTTTCTGCACCAACAATCAGTTTGCATACTCATGCTTGCAAGCGCCACATTGCGACATGTTACGCTTTCGCACCAACATACAACAGTTTGACATAGTTTTGACACTCATGCTTGCAAGCGCCACAGTTGCGACATGATAGGCCTTCTGCACCATCAATCGCTTTACAACAGTTTGACATACTCGTGTTTTCAAGCGCCACAGTTGCGACATGTTACGCTTTCTGCACCAACAATCGCTTTACAACAGTTTGACATACTCATGCTTGCAAGCGCCACAGTTGCGACATGTTACGCTTTCTGCACCACAATCGCTTTACAACAGTTTGACATACTCATGTTTTCAAGCGCCACAGTTGCGACATGTTACGCTTTCTGCACCAACAATCGCTTTACAACAGTTTGACATACTCATGCTTGCAAGCGCCACAGTTGCGACATGATAGGCCTTCTGCACCATCAATCGCTTTACAACAGTTTGACATACTCATGCTTTCAAGCGCCACAGTTGCAACATGTTACGCTTTCTGCACCATCAATCGCTTTACAACAGTTTGACATACTCATGTTTGCAAGCGCCACAGTTGCGACATGTTACGCTTTCTGCACCAACAATCGCTTTACAACAGTTTGACATACTCATGTTTGCAAGCGCCACAGTTGCGACATGATAGGCCTTCTGCACCACCAATCGCTTTACAACAGTTTGACATACTCATGTTTTCAAGCGCCACAGTTGCGACATGATACGCCTTCTGCACCAACAATCGCGCGGCAACAGCTGGACATACTCAGACTCATGCTTTCAATTGCCACAGTTGCGACATGATATGCCTTCTGCACCAACAAGCGCGCAACAGTTTGACATACTCATGTTTCAAGCGCCACAATTGCGACATGATACGGCTTCTGCACCAACCATCGCTTTACAAGGGGTAGGAAATTGTTTGGGTTTGTTTTTTAGTTTGGGTTTTTTTTCCCGAGAGCGCCTGCGAAGGGTTCTTCGTAAAAAAGCAGCCGTTGTAATACATCTTCACACCCTCACACCTGCTGATCTACATCTTCACATCCTCACACCTGCTGATCTACATCTTCACACTTTCACACCTGCTGATCTACATCTTCACATCCTCACACCTGCTGATCTACATCTTCACATCCTCACACCTGCTGATCTACATCTTCACACCCTCACACCTGCTGATCTACATCTTCACACCCTCACATCTGCTGATCTACATCTTCACACCCTCACACCTGCTGATCTACATCTTCACACCCTCACATCTGCTGATCTACATCTTCACACCTTCACATCTGCAGATCTACATCTTCACACCCTCACACCTGCAGATCTACATCTTCACACCCTCACATCTGCAGATCTACATTTTCACACCCTCACATCTGCAGATCTACATCTTCACACCCTCACATCTGCAGATCTTCTCTCGCTCTTCTTTCTATCTCTCTCTTAAGGCCAGGGGCGGTGCCGCCGGAGCGCCACGAAACGCAACCCTTTCGCACGAAATGGACGTTGGACGTCAAAAACTGAGGAAAAATTGCGATTTAACTTAGTCAATCGCAACCCTTTCACACGAAATGGACGTTGGACGTCAAAAACTGAGGAAAAATTGCGATTTTAGTTGGTCAATCGCAACCATTACGCACGAAATGGACGTTGGACGTCAAAAACTGAGGAAAAATTGCGATTTTAGTTGGTCAATCGCAACCCTTACGCACGAATAAATGTGTGTAAAAGCATCCGCGTGTAAAAGCGTCTGTGTGTAAAAGTGTCAGTGTGTAAAAGCGTCTGTGTGTAAAAGCGTCTGTGTGTAAAAGTGTCTGTGTGTAAAAATGTCTGTGTGTAAAAATGTCTGTGTGTAAAAGGGTCTGTGTGTGTGAAAAACAATAAGAAGCATCGATGCAAACTAGTGTTTTGTATTTGTAATATATTTTGTATTGATGCTACTTGTCCCGTCTGCCTATAATATATCTTTAAATATCTTTAATGGTATTGCCTTGTGATATAATGTCTCAATACCAACAACAGAAGACCCTGCTCTCTCTCTCTCTCTCACCCCCTCTTTCGTTCTCTCTCTCTCTCTCTCCCTCCCTCTCTCTCTCTCTCAGTCTCCCTCTCTCTCTCTCTATGTTTCTTTTTTACGACTACCATACTCAGAGCTGCTTGAAAAACGTCTTTTTCGCTCTCGGGCCAACCGTCGTCTAGTTTGATTTCCTGTTCTCACCATTTTCCATGCTATTTGCAGCATTTTGGAGCTGGAAACTGCCATTTCCATGGTATGTGCAACGGTTTTGAGTTCGAACCTCTCATTTTCAATGGTAGTTGCAACAGTTTTGAATTCGAACCTCTCATTTTCCATGGTATTTGCAACAGTTTGCAGCATGTTCTGTCCATTTTCCATGCTATTTGCAGCATTTGTCCGCTTTGTATGGTTTTCTTCAATTTTGCCATGGTTTTCTTCAATTTTTGTAAAGTTTTTTTCAATTATGTCCATTGTTTTCTTCAATTTTTCCATAGGTTTTCTTCATTTTTCCATGGTTTTCTTCAATTTTCCATTGTTTTCTGAAGGTTCTCCATGGCTTTCTTCAATGTTTCCATGGTTTTCTTCAATTTTTCACTGCTTTTCAATTTTCCATAGTTTTCTTCAAGTTTTCCATAGGTTTTCTTCATTTTTCCATGGTTTTCTGGATTTTTCCATGGTTTTCTTCAATTTTCCATTGTTTTCTTCAATATATATATATCAATATATGTCTGTACATCTATAAATAAATATGTATGCGCATTTTTTTAAAAAAATATTTATATATACTTATAGATACATATTTTTATATATACACATTTGTATGTATATACATATTAAAATGTATATATATAAACATTTATATAAAGACATTTTTATATATATATAAATAAATAAGTGTATATATAAATGTAAATATATACATGCATATATATATGTCTATATACATATATGTATAAGTAAAAACAAATACACACATATATATATATGTATAAATATAAATTTAAACATAAATATTAATATAGTCGAATCAAACTAGTGTATTGAAAAGTGTGCAAGTTTGAATTTAAGT